TGTGTGTGTGTGTGTGTGTGTGTGTGTGTGTGTGCGTACGCGCGTGTAAATATAATTGCATGTATTACCTTCACGTTTAGGTGAGGTAATCTTAACACATAAAGTATCCGTAGAATAATAAAGTGATTCCATGTTTTCATTTCTAGCAGCTACATATGAAAAAATAAAAAATCTCAATAAATTTATAAATTCGAAAAGAACTACTTAATATATAAAAAATGTAATTGTATTTTTAAAAATAGTGTATAAAATTATGTATTATATCACTGAAAGTATAAAAGTTTATTAATAATTTATTAATAAATATGAGTAAGAATAAGTACTACTTTTTTTAATATATTATCTCTGATCAATATTTGTTTTATATAAATCACATTGTGTATAAAACGTATCTTTGTGTATACATATATTGTATTTTAAAAGTCATTTTTATATTGTACAAATACTATCTACATCATGTAGTTGTACAATTAACTGTCAGATATCTTTACCAGATTTTTCTGTAACTAGATTGCTACAAATCTCATCAGTTTCGTATGTGTCGTCTGAAAAATTTTACAAGATTACGGTACTTAATGAACTCTTAAAATATATTTGTAGCGCACATTATCTCAAGAACTTATATTTACTAAGAAATGTAATATGCTTACCACTTAAAAATATTATTCTATATTGCTTTTCTAAATTGTCCTTTTTAAACATTTGCAAAAACTCCTTTAAAGAGAAAATACCACTTAATAGGTTTCTCTGTGCTATTTGAATTCGTTGGTTTTTTTTGTGTCGAATACGCATCGATTTTTTGTTAGTTGTAGTCCATTTGCTAATCGATCATAATTCATTTCTTCATCCGCAATAAATTTAGGAAGATTATCTGCATAAATGTATATTCTTAATTGGAAAATAATGATTATGAAGTATATAAATGTATCCAAAACAATTTTGTATATTCATAACTATTAGTTATAACGAAATACTTAAATCTTTTTTTTGTCTTCAAATAATAACAGAAAATATGTAATTGCTAATACGTATGAATCTATTGAATTTTAGGCAAAAATGAAAAATTTTATAACTACACGATCTATAAAAAACAGTTAACTATTTTTACAAGATTATTACGTACCTAGAAATATCCACATATTTGGATGAACCGTTCGCATCTTTCTTAAAATAGTATTATGAAATGACTCCACAAGATTATTTGTTCTGATAGGACATCCATACACACTTATCTTTTCCGCAATTGGAAGCCAAGTGCTTCTCATATACTTTATGAAGAGCAACATACTAGGATATTTATCATATTTCTCATTTGCAATTATTTGGATAAGGTTTAATCCATGGCAGAACATTTCAGATGGAGCCAGAGCTAATGTCATAGCCATAGATAAAATTGTACGTGGCGCTGTCAAAAGTGCTAATTGTTTCCATTTCTTCATTAATGCCTACATCATATATCAATACAAATATATATTATAATTAGTACTACATATTGTATATGTATATATTACAAATTAGATAAAATATATAAAATATTTTATAAATTTTACTTAATTTATTTACATTAATATATATTGTACATATTTTATAAAATTAATATATACTACAAATAAAAAAAATATATATATATTACATAGCTATATATTTGAAATGTAAGAACAAAACTAAATAATAAGTGATTTATCGTTTTGCAAAAAATTGTTTACATTAATATGTAAAGTAAAAATTAAGTACTTCATATAAGAAAGATATACAATATTTACGAAACTGTAGTAAACTATTATATAGCACTATTATGTAGCTATAAACATCTATTAGAAACATCTATTAAAAATTTACCTGACAATAATGGAACCAGCACCCTCTTATAGATGCTTGAGGAAATTGTTCTTGTACAGCCTTCATCGATGCTCTTTCGTAATCCATCATTACAAAGCGTATATTTTGTTGTATGTTTGGAGCTAATTTGACTATTTCCTTCCACATAGATTTATAAACCAATTGCGACTTTTCTTCACATAGAATAAATAATACTGCAATGCCCTACAAAATATTATTATGACACAGTTAAAATGCACATATTTAGCAACATACTAGAAAAATACGTAAATGTAGTCTCACAGTTATTACCTTATCCATGTATCGCACATGTACAGAAAACAGTTGCGCGAACTGAGGTGTTCTAGGTAGGATCTGAAAAAAATAACATACTATATATAGAAAAATATACTATATATAGAATATACTGTATAAAGAATATACTATATGTAGAATATACTATATATAGAATATACTATATATGGAATATACTATATATGGAATATACTATATATAGAATATACTATATAGAATATACTATATAAATATACTATATATAGAAAAATATAAAAACATTCTTGATAGTATAATTTACACAAATAATATTATATACAGTAATCGTAGAATAGAAAATAGAATAGTGTGTAATGATGAGTACTTACAGAAAATGTACCATCTATGAACATTTCTTCGCTGTCTTCTAATATTTTTAGAAGTTTGTTTGTACTAAATATATANCAATATTTGTTATCTTCCGATAAAGCATACCCTTTATAAATAAGTTTTGTAGCGTCATACTGCTGGAGAAAGCTGTCATAGTCACAAATAGTCTGTGGCAATGGCGGTCGAAACTTCAGTTTTTCTCTTAATAACATTGATCTCACAGAACAATAAGAAATAGTTGNTGCAGCAACAGGATTTGTTCGAGAAATACAATCAAATATTTCTTTGTTTGTTGCACCACTTTCTCTGCTTATCTTGATCATTTCTTTTTTTAAATTGTAAGTCTCAATAATATGCGGATCACTAGGATGATTATGTGCATGTCTTAATATAACTTCTTCTTTCATTTCAATTACACCACTACAAAAGACAGTTCGTCTTTTTGCACAACGATATATATACGGACATCTTTTGTCACTATTATATGCATACCCTTCGTATACATATAACTTACTGTCTTTTCTCTTTCCACAGATTACTTCCATTTTTTCCTGAAAATAAAAATCATTGTTCGTATTATATTTATTATTTGCTGTATCTAATAATTTTACATTAGATATCTTATATATAATATTTTAAAATGTAATAATTGTCTATCTATACAATATTTAAGATACATAAGTACAGAGGAGTGCATCATATCGTGTGGTTCCAGGAGAAGTATTTTTCAGAAATTTCTTCTCCGGCTGCTTCTACACACACCGTTCTCCTTCGATCTCGGGTCGCTGGCGAAAACCGAAGAACTGCGCGCGACAGCCAGAAGAGAAATTTCCAAGAAATATTTTTCTTGGAGCCGCACAATATGGTGCACTCCTCTGTACTATATATAGAATATCCTATGTAATAATTTTCTATAAGACATTTTATATACAGGGTGTCCCAGAATTGGTGTAACATCTCTCATAAACAGGTAGGAGTAAAACTGAGTCAAAAAGTCCTATACCATTTTGATAGATTCGCAATAGTTACCGAGATCTTAATTACCAAAGATCCGCGAATGAGCGTGCAGCCACGTGCAAAATGACAGCTCGGAGCTGTCATTTTTTCGCGCGCTTGTACGCTTATTCGCGGATATTTATTAATTCAGATCTCGGTAATTATTGCGAATCTAGCAAACTGGTATAGGACTTTTTGACTCAACTTTACTCCTTTTACCTGTCTACGAGAGATGTTACTCCTATTCTAAGACATTCTGTACTTTAAAGTCCCAGCTAATAATTTAAAGAAAAATAACAGACATGTATGTATCAATGTTTTAAGGCTAGTGATATACTTCCAACTGATAAACGATAGATAACAGTCGTCAAAGAATACAATCTTTTTTAATTGTAACAATATTCTTATTATTATTACTAGGTTGTGGAAATTGTCTCTATTTTTATTACTTTTGATATACTTATTATTTTCTAGTGTTAATACTACACATTTTACCTGTGTGTATCATCTGTTACTTCACTCATTATAACTACATATTTTTCAGAAACTTCAGCATCCAGACTAAAAAAAAAATACAAAAAAGCAATAAAAAATTAAATAAAAAATAAAGATAAATAACAATTTAAAAAAGAGAAAATTAATAATCATAAGCAAAATCTCAAACTGTACACTACTTGTCTACACCAGTAAACTAAATGTAAATTAACCTAAATGTCTACAATTTGCTTTCAGAAAATCTGATTTGTACGTATAACATATGAAATAATATATTTGTGGAATAAAGATAATATTGTAGATAGAAACTGGTAAAACACAATTTTTTCTGTTGTTTAACAAAATTTGTTTTTATAGACTCATCAGTTTATAACAAAGAGAAAAGCCAAAACCTTGTTAAGATTAAAATATGAAATACACAATATCTTGCAACAGAACAAGATAAAAAGATATAATATTGAACCGACTAATAAATAATATTACAAGAAAGAATAACATTAGCTGCTTTTTTTACAATACTTTACAGCATAAAAAATAAATTGAAAATTTTTTATCCTTGTACAAAACGATTTTATATGCAACAGTTTTTCCTTCCATGTTTCCAAGAAAAGTTCTTGTTGTATCACAAAGTAATGACTCATTTTGTGTGTGTGTGTGTGTGTGTGTGTGTATGTGTATGTGTGTGTAAAAGTATGTACATATTACCTTTACCGTAAGTGAGTTGCTTTGAACGTATTGAGAAGTATCCACAGAGTGATTAACACATACAGTGTTTTCATTCCTCAGTTACATCTGAAGATTTTGATTCTCTCATGTAGTTATGAAAAATCTGTGNTGCACCTAAATAAATAGTGTAAAATTAATAACTGTATAATAAACATATAAAAGTTTACAAAACTATTAATATTGAAAATTAATGTGAAGTAAGAACATATGTATTTTATAAATAAATAAATTTTATACAATAATAATGGTATAAGGTTATGTTATTACTATGAAAAGATTTGCTTACCACGTACACACACGTACACACACACGTTGGGCGGCCCAGTACTAAGTATACAGACGATCCTTCTATAACGCGAATATTCCGTTTTACAAAAATGTCGCGTTATATAAATCGCTATATAATAACTTTGCAGAAGCGCGCATATTAAAAAACGGAATTAAACTTTTTGCTACCACAATTTGGAAATTGCGTTATATCGAAATAATTTGATTTGTTCAAGTACCGCGTTATAGGAGAGTTGCCTGTATTCTTAGTACAAATGGGTAAAGGTTGTGAAAAAAGAAATCAAATTTACTTATATGCACAACAGTTAAGAAGATGCTGAACCACTGGCAAAAGTTCGCTCAGCTGCTACTCAACCGCTATGCTATCGGGTAGGTGGTGCCATCTCTCGGGACCGAATCAAACCAAAACAAGGATAGATGACATGAGAGAGCCAAGGATAGACATATGTTTCTCTCTAACGCTTCT